CTGTGAAGAAGGGCAGAGCAAAGGCCATAACTTCAAGAGCTGAAAAATTTTCTAACTTATTTTAGGTTCCTACCAAGGAGCCGAGCTCTATGAAGAAGGGCCAAGCAAAGGCCATAACTTCAAGAGCTAAAAAATTTTCTAAGTTATTTTAAGTTCCTACTAAGGAACACAGCTTTGTGAAGAAGGGCCGAGCAAAGGCCATAACTTTAGCAGGTAAAAGATTTTCTAAGTTATTTTTGGTTCCCACTGAGAAACCGAGCTCTTTGAAGAAGGGCCGAGCTTGGGGCCATAACTTCAAGATTTTTCCAACTAAAAGATCAAACTCTCGAAATAGGACCAAACAAAAGCCAAAGACTTCAAAGGTCACATTTTTTTTCCAAACATACAGTAAATTTAAATAACAGAAAAGAGAAAAAATGATTTTCATTCAAATTTCAAAAGATTACACAGATCATTGAACATTTACATATGAAGTGGCAAAAAAGAAATCTTCCAAGCGTTTTAGGAGGCTGGAGGTTGGGGAAGTGCTTGGAAGAGGATGCTTGGAGAAAAGTTCAGACGAAGAAGGGATCTCGGCAGCAATCAAGGTGGCTTGCCAGCCCTTGTTGAAGAATGCATCCCGAAGTTGGGGGATCTGCAGAGCCAGATCATCCTCTGCCTTTTCAACCCCTTCGTCATATGCAGCATCTTCTCTTTTTCTTTGCCTCGGATTTGAACTGATCAAACTCTTCAAGAAGACTGGTGAAATCAAGTTGGGACTGGGAAAGTTCAACATTTGCTTCATGGTCTGAGTCCCTTAGCTTCCTGACCTCTTCTTGAAGCTTCTGGTTCTCCTCGGTTAGGCTTTGATTTTGAGCCTGCAGAACCTTAACTTCTTTTACAAAGCTTGGAGTACTCTTCATCCATTAATTCTTTCTTGGCCAAGGGAGAAGCTCGGGCATGGATAACGTCCTTCATAGCCTTATCCTTGATGGCTATCCTGGCTCCAACCTCATATTCCTTTTGTAGACCCTTGGTTGAAAAAATAAGAAAGACTTGGAAAAATTTTAGAGGAAAAAAGGAGAAGCTTAAAAGAACAAATCTTACCAGGACCATGTGTTGAATGGCTTGGCGAGACACCTCATCATCTGTTAGAGCCTCGTTCATAGCCAGGTCCCGAGGTAGGATCACTCCCCTAGTAATCCCCACTACTACATTAAAGTCTTCAATGGCAGAATCCTTGGCAGTAATTTCTCTCCTTTTTGTCCTAAGGATAGGTCGGAAAGGAGGGGTGACTGGTCTTGGAGAAGGGCTCGCCTCGGTCTCGACTATTCTTCGCCTTTTTGGGGCTAGGTCCTTGGTAAGCTCAAAAATTGAGTCGTCTTGGGGGATCGGAGAATGAACAGAATCAGGGGGATCTAACTCTACTGAAAATGAAATTTCAGTAAACTGAACCTTATCTGCCTGATCACTACTCAGCATTTCTGCATTGTTCGGAAGAATTGGCTCGGCAAGAATCTCAGCAAGAGGCTCATCTAAAACAGCAATTAAAGGAACGGAAGTAGATGGAGGAGGCTCGATAGACGAGGTCGGCTCAACAGTTGATAAAAAGTCCAAAAAAATCTTCACCATTATGCGTCCGGTGGCTGCAAGGGAAGATTTTTTCTTAGCTCGGGAAGTATGTTCCCAAGTAGCCTGGATTGCCTTTCGATCCGCGGCCAAAGTGGTATTGGGTCTGTTCGACACGACAATGAAGGAAGTATAGGATGGAGTGTATCTGAGCAGTGTGTGGGTAGCTCGGCAGAATAAGGACTCAATAAAATCCCAAACTCTTTTAAGCTCATCCATATTCACAGAGGACTCAGGAACTCTACCCTTGACAGTTTCTCCTTCACAGAGAAGTCCAGAATTAAAAAAAAGAAAAAAATGGAAGAGTAAAAGACTCAAATACCTATCGCACCTTCTTTGTAAAGACAGCGATAGGAAGTAGTAGCATCAGCAACATACTCCCCCGTTACCTGAAACGAAGACCACATCGTTCTCATGACCCTTGTTCGAGTATGGAAGATAAATTACCAGATATCGTTCCTTCTTCCTTAAAGCAAGGTAGTAATTGTCACCAGCAGCCTTGATGATGTAGTAGTATAAGATCTCACACAATCCTAAGCTCAAATTCATAAGCTTGTTCAAAGCTGCCGCCCATCACTATTCTGAAGAAATTGGGGTAGCACTGAATGGGGCACAGCTTCATGGCTGACAGCACCCAAAGGAGTAATGGATCAAGTGGGAAGCACACACCACCTTCAGTAATCGCTCGAGTGTAAATTGGAATCCTCTCTCTTATCCCAACCAAAGGCTCAACTTTTCTAGCGACCTTCACCTCAATGTCGTCTGGAATGTTGTATTTAGTTTTGAAAGAAGGAATTTCAGAGGGTGAGAGGGGCCATTGAGGAAGATGAACTCAGAAAGAAGAAAAGTGGTACAGATACGAAGAAAGAGATTAATCTGAAATCAAGAAGGCAAGGTAAAGGAAATACGAAGAGAAAACGTTTATAAAGAGGAGGAATTTTAAAAGGCAATATTTAAATGCCCAAGACGTGCCGCCAAAACAAAGGGGAATGTCACAAGGGCAATGATGATGAAAAGGCATAAAACGGCTGATAGACGAAAGGCGTCTGTTAGACATTTTCTGGGAACAAATGAAGGGGTTGGTTCCCATTATTACACGTGTTGTGGCATTAAATGAGCCCACTTGAGGTTGATAAGACAAGGCACGTGACGAGGACTACAGTTACTTAGTCAAATGGGTTTAGTCGAACTGCCCAATGTGTTCGGCAAAATAATAAAAGAGCTCGATTTTCATTAAACCAAGCATATCAATGTGTTCAGCAATCACCAAAAGTGCTCGACTCTCATTATGACCGAGCTGTTTGAAACAGAAGATAGGAAAATAAAGATAAGCCTTTTAACTTAGGCATTTTGAATAAACGAATAAACAAAATTGCAGATATCAGGAGGAATTGTTGAAAAAATATCAGCAACTTCCCAAATTAAATCGCTGAATTAAAGAAAAGGGTGCCACCTTGAATCAAAAATCACGGAAACTCTAAGGGGAAAACTATCTATAAAAAACAGAGGAAATCAAGGTGAAAGGTACGCATAACTCTCCTTTTCTTCTAGCAATAGCTTCAAAACCATTACTGACTTAAGCATCAAAGTGCCTTCGATCGAAGCACTTCAATCTTAGGCAGTTTGTTCATTTTGCAGAGAGAAGATTGAGAAATTAAGTTCAGAGACATTTCTTACCAACAAGATCACATCAAGTTCCTTGTGAGAGGTATCAATAATTTTTTGACTCTTACATCATTGATTTTTTTTGATCCAATTGCTTGAATATGTGTTATTTTGATTATCTTTCTCCTTATAAGAAAATGAGATATCATCTTTCCGATTTTTGTAGAGGGGGAATGCCTCATGGGAAGGAGAAGTTGTTCAACCATTCGCATTCATCATTAAGAAATGTGATTGGACATTACTTTTGAGTTTTAAAAGCAAGATTTCTTATTTTAAAATAAATGCCCAATTTTAGATTCAATAAGCAAATACATGTTGTTGTTGCCCGCATAACTTGCCAAAACTACAAAAGACTTCAAAGATATGCTAATGAAGACATGAAGCTAAAGAAGGAGGAAGGCAATGTAAACGCAATGCCTTTGAAGAGAACATTGATTTAATAGATATGATAAAATGTATTGAAAGATGAAAAATATTGCTACAACAATTCTAAGTGACAATCAAGAATTAATATTTGTACTTAATATTGGCTGGCTGATTAAACTCATGTAGTTTTTGTTTGACTCCTTTATTAATAATCATGGTAGGTTATGTTATCGTTTTTTTTTATTTTAAATTGATCATTTGAAGAACAATCATTTTTGTATTATTTTTCTTTTTTTGTCGAGACTATTGCAGCCAATTTTTGATATATATTTTTTAAATTATGAATATGTAAATAAGTGGTAGTACAAGATTAATGTATAGTAACATGTGAGAACATATTTATAATTATGACATAAAAAAATACTTTTTTATTAACCATCAGGGTACAAGGGTAGAGATGAAATCTATTTTCCTACAACTTATACCAGGGGTGTTAGGAGGGAGCAGGAAGAGTAAGACAACATTTCAACGATACTCAACATAATATAAAATGATATTTATTTAAGTGTTTTTTTATTAAACATCTAAACAATGCTTCATCAAAGAAGTGCTTTTTCTCTAAAGTGATTATACAAAAAATATTTTTAAAATCCCATAAGTCATCACAAACGCCACCTTAAGTACTCTAATTTTGCTTTCATTCCTCCAAACTCAATTGCATACATAGGAATGCATGTGTATTCCTCTTAAAATAAATATGCATTGATTTTGAAAATGAAAGTTGAAAATACTTCCATTGTATTTGTTTTCATATTATAACATAAATATGCATTCATTTAGAAGAATATACTCATGCATGCTGTCAAGCAATACGGAAAGACTCTATCACGTCAAAGACATACAATCACTCCTCTGGCATGCAAAGCTTCCTGATGAGCGACAGTGTGATGGCCACATGGCAATGGCTAAATCCTACCCTGCCTGCCCCACCAAAAACAGTGGAATGATGATTGAGAATGAGAATGTGCACTTCGTTTCAAACTACAATACAAAAAAGATCAATTTTTATCAACTTGAAGCGAATTCAATATAAATCACACTAGAACCAGCAAATACAGCTATGAAATCCTTTCTTAAATCAACCATATTGCAACACTTTCCCATCTTAGTGGGAGATTCTCCTACAAGTACAAAAGTGACCCTACCCACAGTAAAGGTATAGCTTTACGAGAGAGGATGATAATGCCAAACAACTAAAAAAGGTAAACACGGAGAACCAAAAAAAAAAAAGATAAAAGGGACCATATTGCTTAAAGCCACAGGAGGACCAAAAAAAAAAACAGCATTAACTAAAAAGGAAACTTAAACCAAATCCCCAAGGGTATGAACCCTATTACAAGCTATCCAGTATAGAAACCGCCCATGACGAGGAAAAATGGGGCTAAATATCTCAGATTCCTAAAAGGAGCAGAGCCTGCGTTGCATTCAATTATATCTTTGAAGCAGCTTTCATACCTTTTTTTTCCCTCAATCTATCTTTAAAGCAGCAAGGCAGATCCAAGAGGGTGGTCCAATGCTCAAGGACAATTATCCAAGCATTTGCTCTACTCTAGACCAGCTGATACTCCGACCAAAATGCCCCTCTAAAAGGACCACCCTTGCCCATGTCTGAAGCTAGCAACAATTTGCAACCCCATTTGCCACAACTTTGTTCTCAGAAACTGCAACTTGGTTTGCACCCTTCGGAGCATCTCCAGATTTTACAAATGGTCCATTTTCTGAAAGCTTAATATCACCATTAGTCTGAATAGCTGATGTAGGTTCCTTGACCAAGTCTGACGCAACCTCTGACGACTTCTGCAATTTGAGTTCCCCAATTGTGCCATCTTTGTTCTTTTCATCAGTGGGCTTTCCTGCCCATGCCTGCATAAACAATTTAACAGATGTTAATAGCCTTTATACCAAAAAATAGGATATACCCATTGTACGAGGCTCCCACCATTGGGTCCGGGGAGGGGGGAGGGTTAGATGTACGGTAACAATTGTCCCCAAACAAGAATGGGTTCAGATCAATGCTGAGAAGGTTGAAGATAAAAGGAGCTAAAAAGACTTCACAACTTTACTCTTTTAAGAGTGAAATTACACACAGAATACAGCATCAACTGGTACTAAATTATGCAGTGAGAAATATCTTGCCTGTTTCTGGAAATGCTGTTGCTTAGCCTTTTTCTCCAGGATCCTCTTCTGGCGATCCTCATAGAAGTCAAAATCATCCAGAATGCATTGTTTGCTGCAATGGTCCCTAAAAATTTTGAGCACTTGAAGTCCCTGTTCCAACTTGACCTGTACAAACATGGAAGTTTCCAGCCTGAATTGGATGAAAAGAAACTGAAGAGCTAACCAAACTATAAATAGTAATACCTCTTGAGTGTCCCTGCTATTAGTGACGGGTTTATTCTCATTGTTTTCAAGGGTGATGTACTTCAACAAACTGTTGGGTACATCCTTCACCATGTGCCACTTAACAGCAAAACAACCAATCCACTTGTCTTGTTGCCAATACTCCACATTCTTGTTGAAATCAACTGGCCCAACCATCTCCGCAACACCAACAAATTGCCCGCTAGTATTAACCTAGAAAAAACAACGATGAAATTTCTAAGAAACAAACAAAGCAGCCGAAGGAACTACTCTCAAACAAGTCGCATCCAGACACATACCGAGAAGAAAAGAAATATAGGACAGTCACCAGGCTTCTGCTGAGCCTCCTGGTACGCTGCATCAAGCTTCTTATTACCATGTGGAGTGCTGGCCCACACATTATATTTGATGCTCTTATGGACATCGTCCTCACTGTATGACTTAATAATGAAAAACTTAGCATCAGTATATTTCTCAGGAAAATCTGCTCGGTTATATTGCTGACAATCTGGAATTGCACTCAACTTTTCCTTCTCATCATCATTAGTGCCTGCCAATGGGATATTCTGCCCCTTGACTGCCAACACAACAGGTACAAACCCCAGTTGATTCTTAGAGCTATTGGATCTCGGCCCCCTATTCAACTCATTCAAACCATCCATGTTCTCATTGCCATAACCAAAGAATCCATTACCTCGTCCCCTAGGCTTATACTTGCTATCAACAGCCAACCAACCACGTCCATTTGTTCGTGAATCATACCCATTAGAACCCAGAACAGATCTGAAAGTGTTCCCATACTGCCCATATAATTTGTCCGGGTACATCCTATTTACATATCCATTAGCCGTGCTCATGCCAGACATCAGCCTTGGATGTTGCAAACCCTGTTGACGAAACAATGAGTATTTTCTAAAATAGAAAATCTGGATCATCCAAAAAATATGAAAAAAAGTCCACAGGCACTTCACGACTAGAGCTGATCAACAGAAAAAAAAAAACATATAATTTGCCTAAGTTCGACCAGTGGGTTTCACTTTCTTATTTATTGGTTTGTGACTTCTCAAACGAGATCTATAAAAGGGTAAAGTTGGAATGGTTGCAACAATGGGGTAAGAACCCACATCATCCTCTAGTATGTATCCAGATGGACCAAATTTAATTGTTAAGTCCACTTCCTCAGTAGTAAGGTTGCTGTTCCAGTTTCTTTCTAACTTGCAAACTGCTATTTGTTTTCAGGCAATTTCTATATGGCATTATTTAGCTAAAAGATCAATCTCTTGAAAATGACCAAATTTACATACCATGAGATGAGAATGAGTACGGAGATTCTGATTCCTTGATGATGGAACACCATTCCCACCAGATATTGATGAAGTGATAGAAGTACTTTTCAAATGCCCAGGCTGCCCATCTGAAAATATGGGGCCATCTACCCATGGTATCGGAGACCGCAACCCATCAAAAACAAATCCTGGATCCTGATAACCAGAAGCCACTATTCCTCCTGGTATGGCTCCCCTTCCATAGGCGCCATTTATATTAAATGATGAATTCTGATATGTTGGTCTTACAGGCGCCGAACAATTATTTCCCTTTATGGCCCCAACATTTGCAATGCCGTTAGTATTTCCATTAGCAGTTTCCACAGACAAAGGCACTTGGTCAGCAGCGGCAGAGGTGGAAATCTCACTTTTGGAAGGAGCAGCTGGACTAGAATATGGTCCACTGGTCGGAGTCGTATGTTGAAAATACGAAGTAGGATATTGGTAGTGCTGAGCTCCATAAAGCTGGCCATCATGTGCCACAGCCTGTACAGGAGACCCAGCTGGTGAATATGGGCCATAGGGTGCATAACCATAGCCATGGTGATACATAAGCGACCCATTGTCCCCATACGCTCCCTGCATTCCGGCAAAGAAAGAATTTCAACAAATTGCTCAAGGATAAGACTTCAGAAGACCCAAGGACCACAAAAATTAGGCATCATAACGTGCAGGAACAGATTTGAGCAGTTAAAAAACTTACAGGAGTCATCTCCACTCCATCCGGACTAAAAAATCTTGCGTAGTCGTCCCACTTATTACTAGTCCCATCATATCCTAAGGGAAAAAAAAGGCAATAACATCATAACAATCACCAACAAGCAAGCAGGATTGCACCTGTCGACCAAAAATTTAGGCCCTTTGAATTGAAGCAGCTCCATTCAATTTTTGAATATACTTTTTTCAAGTGGGCAAAGTTCCAAAACATAATAAATTTAAAATTTGGAAAGAGATTGGCTTACCACCATAATAATAGGCCGTAGAAGGATAACTGTTGGTAACATAGCACATGGTTGGATCCATAAAATCTGGCAGCGAAGGTGTCATGGACAAATCAAATGACTGAATCTGACCATTTTTGTTGTCAGCCGTATCAACATAAGGCTACAAGGGAAACAACAGTCAACCACCATAAAAAAAATAGTCCTTTGTAAACATGGGATCCTATATTCAAATAAACTGCTAGTAAGATAAAACTGAAAATCACCTTCTTGGTAGGCTCTTGAATTTCCAGAGTCTTAGTCTGGGAATCCATGGACAACTTTTGCATCAAATCTGCAGATTCTATAGCAACAGAAGTAAAGGAATACATAATTTGTAGAAAACTGAATCAATCGTACTTGGATTTAAAAATAACTGCTTAATCTATCAAAAACCTAAAACAAATAGAAATTAAGCAAGCTCCAAAACTCCACCCTCTAACATGCAAAGTAAGTGAATCAGTAATTCTCATTTGTAAGGTCTAGAGTTAAGATTTTAGTATTTGAGAGACCAATCCTTTAGGAAAAACATCAAAATTGAAACAAAAAGCAAACCTAAAGAGATAAACTTTCAATTCTATTCTTATTATTCCGCAAAGTAGCTCTATTTCTACTATTACCACCGTAAAAGTTAGTAAGAAACATATAAACAGTAAAAACACAGCCAAACCCAGTAATACGCATCTACGTGTAATTCAACACAACTAACAACACAATAGAGAAGAAGAAGGAAGAACACCAAACAGATATGGCAAGTTGAGAAAACACAAAAGAAATCCCATGCCCGCACTAAATCTCATACGTAAGCATCACAAATCATGCATGAAACAAGAAAAACAGCACCACCAAATAAATTTAAACAAAAAATCCTAGACAAAAGCCATAGACTCACCGTACCCAGATCTATCACAAGAAATAACAACACAAGATCCAACAACGAAAACCATGAATTCTCACACCACATATATAAACACAGAGAACAAAACCCAGGATCCAGACACAACAAAGGGAGAAAACTATAAATTCCAGGTGTGTACCCAGAAGGTCAGAGTCGGTATGGATACTATCTGCGGCAGGAGCAACGGCGGCCATGACCAGATCTTTGAAAGGGGCGACCTTGGAAGTCTAGTCTTGAAAGGTTTTGATAGGAGAGTGAGACGATATGGAGGGGGACAAAATAGGGGGAGTGTCAGCCGCCAAGAAGAGCGAAAGGGAGTATGGGTTTTGGGAGGAAGAGGGTTTTGAACCAGCCAAAAGTGGTGATTCAAATAGCCCCACGGCTTCACTCCTTCGCACCCCTCAATTTCTCTGTATTTCTCTTTTTCACCCTATTATAAGGCAGCTCCACTATTGAGTTAACCTCAAGTAAAATTTGAGTAAAAAATTTAATTTGTATTAACTTTTTTAATGGATAAAATCAAATTTATACTCAAATTTTTTAAAAGAATTTCATATGGTCTCAAGTTTTCATTTTTTTAAATTAACTGGTGTACATGTGTATTGCACGTAAATCATTCCGAGTATAAAATATTACTCCATATTGATGTGAAAATTTATGAACTACCATAAACCATACAAATTAATTGTGTCTTTATAAATTTTCATCGACAAGTTTTTAAACTCTTTTGTTATTAGATGTCCACAATAAACTTGATACTATAACTATCTCTTTTTTTTTTTTTTGGAAAGCAATAATACAATTACCTCACTGAATAAAAAATATAGAAATTGATGTTCAATTTCACTGAGTTGACAATCTAAAATCAATTTTTAAGTTTCTGGTGGGCTTTTGTATTGTTTCAGCAACTAAATAGAAGTGCAGTTCACATAAAATTAGAAGTACAATCAAACAAACAAAATTTCAAAACGGTACAACTTGTACCTGAATTTTGTCATTTGTTTTCAAGAGGCAAATAAGTCCCAATATTTTCAACCTCAAATAAACCGCTAATTAAATAGATGTGCAACTATAGAAGCAGTTTCCAAATGGAAATACTAAACCTTAAGATTATGGTTTGAAAATAAGGTAACCAGTCAAACAATTGAAAATATTTAGACCTAGACTAGGTATAGTTATTGAATGGATTATAAGTAGAACCCAACATGTGGTCATGTATTCCAAACTATTGGAAAAAAAATAAAAAACAAGTGTGAGGAAAAAAATTGCTACTAATTTGCAAACAAGACCACAATGACAAAAGTAAACCCAAACCTTGAGATATTGGCACAATGAACAAAATTTAAAAATCCGCAAAGATAAAAAACATAATGGTTGTCTTGCTTAATGTAATCTTGTTAAAAACATGCGAAAAATATTCTCAATGCAATCAATGTGGTCTTAGAATCATACCTTTGTTAAAAACATGCGAAAAATATTCTCAATGCAATCAATGTGGTCTTAGAATCATACCTTCATTGTCAGGTATAAACTAATAATGTGCAATGTACAACAAATAGCAGGACACAAATATCTGCCAAGTATTTCAAGGGTACCAATGGATATTGTTACACATAATTGACACAGATATGTTCTGGAGAGATTTACACTATTGTTCCTGGATCACATAGCTTTGTAACTGTTTGAGATATAGCAACGGCCTAGTTTATTACGGTTTTA